TGCGTTTACGTGTGTGTGTGTGTGTGTTTGTGTGAACATGCTCTGCTGAGTGTGTGTGTGTGTGTGTGTGTGTGTGTGTGTGCCGAAGGGAGTGAGGCTGGACCCCTCTCCAACCAATCAATCAATCAATCAATCAATCAATTAATCAATCAATCAATCAATCAATCAATCAATAAAAAAAACTATTAAGCAATCAATATTTATTTTTTTCTATTCATTTATTTATTTTTCTCACACACCAAAAACACCCCCCTAATTTTTTAATTTTTTATTTTTTTTTAACAGGGCCACAGAGGCCGACGTGCGACGGCCGCGCGCGCCCCCGCCTGGGCCTGGGGCGACCGCACGGAAACTCGGCCGCGGGCCCGCGGTCGGCCTCCTAGGCCGCAGGATCCGCGACCTTGGGGGTCATGTAGCACTCGCCTAATGCCTAAAGGGACACTCTTATGCAACTTGGAGATGGGTAGATAAATACCCCTTCATACCATCTGAAGCTAGGCTACCAGAGTGGCCTGGGACCGCTCGCACGGCCGGGCCGCCCACCTAAATCTGAAGCAGTATGTTTCCTGCCCCCGACCGTGAAAAAGAATTCATCTTCACCGCCCAGGTCCCGTCCCTCCCAGGCCACTCGGCATGCCATGCGGCAGCAGCACCGCTCACTGCACGGACGAGAAAACAGTTGTAAACGCCCTGCCTTGCTATGGCATGTCATCTGGGCCTCCGGCCCGCTCCGTGCACCTGCACGGATTCGAACTGGCACCCTCAGCCCTCAAGAGCCAAGTCTCTTATCGACTACAGCCAGGGCACGGTGTTCAAAAGCGGAAACATACCACCTGTGATATCCACCCCACCCCTGCAAGGCTGTAGTGTCCAAACTCGACACAACACTGCACTCAACATCACACAGACACGTTGGTGATTCTCGCACAATCAGCTATAATCAGCATGTAACCTCCTCACTGGTGCATTATACCCGGTCACTCAAACGGGACTTGTCTCGGCCCATGAGTTCCATGGGCACCTTCTACCGTATCGTACATCTGTCCGTCTCTCAAGGCAACTGCCCTTTTGAGAGAGAGAAAAAAAAGACAGAAAATAACTATTGGCGAGGAGTTACTTGCATTCCCAACTTCAGTCTCCCTCCGAAGGCAACGCACCCGCAGTATGGCTCTACTGAACTTATATTAGTTATGGCCCTGCTTTATTTTCGCCAAAAGACGGTAGTGTCTTCTGCTGAAGAAAACGTATGGTCATTATATCCGTGCTTCGCCCAACTTCCGTCCAGATGTCGCAAACATGACAGAACATTCCATTCGGCTGAAGATGGTAGATCTGGCTGTAATTGGAGTCCCATACGTCCCTTGGAGTACCAACCAGAGTACCGCCACAACCAGCAGTGCTCACCCACTGCTGTGGACTCTATTCAGCAGTGGGCATCCGTAACTTCGAGCGTCATGGACTCTATTCACCCGCGTTCAAAATCTACAGTCACTCCACTAACACTACCCACACAACCTGCCGAATAGTCACTCCACTAACACTACCCACCAATGTTTACCCTCTCGAGTCCATAAACAAAACAGGGCAGAAGAGTAAGTGAGACCATATCTATGGCACCAACGGACCTAGCTCAGCTGGCGCACGATGCCCAATGACCTGTTGAAATAAAGATGAGAGTTCGAATCCAAAAGAGGGCACCTCTTTGTAGATTCTGTACCTTACTGCTTACATGGATGTGGCTACACACAAGGGGTGCGGTCCCACTAGCAAAGAGGGTTGGATAAATATCTTGAATCTGGGCGTTCTTTTAGCAGAGATGTTGAAAAGCAGTTCAATCTCAACATTCTGCACCTTTCCACAAACAAGTCCAGATTCAGGTGTTCAATCCAATCCTCTTTGCTAGTAGGGGCCTCGTCCAAGGGAACAGAGTTGCATACTCGAATAAATGTTAGGTCTGTTGGTGCCATAAACAAAACGAGGCAGGTCCATCTAGTAGCCTACGCCTGAAAACACAGGGCTCCGGGCAGGGTTGGAGGCCGAGGGTAAAGAAAAAAAAAAAAAAAGAAGAAACTTAAAGAAAGAAAACAAAGAGTCCCCACTCCAGGGACGTCGGGGGAGGTCCTCACACCAGTGCTGTGCTTTTAGGAATGTAACTGGCCACTTCATCGGGAAACAGATTGCGGTTAGTTTTTTTTTTTTTTTCTTTTTTTTTCTTTCAATTCGTTCTAGTGCCCTGCCAGCCAGGCAGGGCATATTTCACTCTCGACATGTAACTGGCGTGGTTTGCTCCTATTTTAATTGGAGCACGTGATATGGCCTTTCCTCGATTAAACAATATCAGTTTTTGGTTATCACCATCATCATTACCGGGTTGGTTGTTCTGCTTTAGTGGAAGTAGGTGCTGGTACCGGGTTGGGCGGTCTACCCACCTTTAAGCGGTATAACCAGTCATTCTGGAGGAGCTGTGGATTTAGCTATTTTTAGTCTTCATTAATCGGGTGTTTCCTCAATATTAGGTGCTGTCAATTTCATTACAACTATTTTTGACCGACTTGCAGGTGGAGCGTCCGGTCCGGTCTGCTTTGCCGAGTGCGGCACCCTCCCCCCGGACCGGACCGGACTGGACCAGACGGGACCTTTTTTTTTTTTTTTTGGGGGGGGGAAAAGGGGGTAACTGGTCATCGGGCGCACATTCGTGCGCCACGCGGGTCCGGTCTGGCGGTCCGCTGCACATGGGGAACTGCGCGGACTGCGTCCGCTTGCAAGTACGATTTTTAACATGCGTCGCCCAGTCACTGCTGTAGCATCATGTATCCGCCCTCAATCACAGCGTAAGGGATTCCTTTTCTTTCTTTTTTTTTGCTTCTCTGTTTTTTTCCCATACACACCCTCGCTGAGGCCACAGTCACACAAGCA